GGTATTTACAGTCTTAAAATACGAGGCAAAGACCTCAAAACGTATTGCGACTTTACAACAGACGGGGGAGGTTGGACACTACTCGTTACGAGTTCCTCTCGAAATGGATGGACGAGAAAGACTGTACTTGAAAGAAATGTGAAACGYCCATCGTTGAACAGAGACTTTTCCATTCTGGGCTTCAGTGATGACATCATAGGACAACGACATTTTCAGGTATATATTGATTGGTCAAGGGTTCCGCGAATCTCGCCTGAAGCTCGAATTTTTTTCGAGAAAAATAGCTTGGTGGCATGCGAGAAAAAAACAACTTTCATCTTGGTTTCGCTTGTCGGATTTATATTGGTGAAATAATCACGTAATTATGTACTATCATCATTTTTCAACTAGTACAAGATTGAAGATGACACCAGCAAATGGGGAGGCGTATTTGAAGCAAGACAAGGACAAAGCTTCTTAGAARGTTTGAGCAATCAGACGCAAGTAAAATTATTGAAGAAATATGGCAACTGGGACGAYAAATGCAATCTAGGGCAGCGCCTTCCTTATATCAAAGATTCCAGCCTTCTTTTGACGACTGCAGACCCCTCAGGGGATGACTCAGGGACAATAGTGTCTTCAACAGATGATGCGGTCTACTTACCAAAACAAATRGAACGGCCATCTGGATTGAGACTTTGGGTTAGAGAGGGGACCTGGTAAGTTACGAGCTGTAGAAAAAATGTTAATGTTACAAATAATAAAACAGTCCGGATTTGCAACAACAAAAAAAACAAAACAAAACAAAACAAAAATTACTGTTTATAGAACCCTTTAAAAGCGTGACAGTAATGATAAAAAGGTAAATTTTACACCGTGAAAAGATGAAAATACTTACTGACGTTTCGGACGTGGTAATGCGAGCAGCAAAGTCGTGCAACTTATCGCGCAAAATGGTTGCGTTGCAAGCTGGAAAGCAAATGTTGCTAGTATTACCACGCCGTAATTAAACTAAGCAAAAATTTGATCCACGACTTTGTTGCAGAAGTAGAAGCCCTTTCCACTTTCTGCGACAAAGAAAATGTGTCGTRCACAGGGAGTAGTACTACGAGACACATTCGCGCTGCAACTTGAAACGCAGCGCTGTTGCAAGATTTTGTTGCTAACAACCTCTGGACTGATCTAAGTCAGGGCATGGCTAACTCACAGATCAAACCCTGAATCAACCTCTGGGGTGATCTAAGTCAGGGCATGGCTAACTCACAGATAGAACCCTGGAACAACCTCTGGGCTGATCTAAGTCAGGGCAGGGCTAACTCACAGATCAAGCCCTGAAACAACCTCTGGGCTGATCTAAGTCAGGGCATGGCTAACTCACATATTGAATCTTGAAACAGCCTCTGGGCTGATCTAAGTCAGGGCACGGGCCGAGACCCGAAAAGTGAGAAGACAGTGCCACTCTACTGCTACACTACCCTGATTTCCAACAATAAAGACTTTGATTGATTGATTTCCGCTTTTTCCACAACGATCTTAGGAGATCTTGTAATCAAATAAAACAGAACATAAAGGACGTCCCCGGCGAACACAAGTCTTTGGAAGACGGACCTTACATGATAAAAAACACCTCGCACCAATACATCCCGGTCATATGTGACATGAAATCAGACAAAGGGGCTTGGACTCTGTTAGTGACAAGCGCCAATAACGGATGGCTTCCAAATCAAGTCAAACACCGAAACACGAATTTACCATCTTTAACACAAGACTATTCCATCTTGGAGCTGGGCGATCAGATAAAAGACCTGAGTGGTGCAAACAGCTTTRTGTATAAGCTAGAGGCACATGAGCATGGACACTGGGGAGGAGTGTGGAAAGCACCCAAATCATACAGGTACATATGTCATTAGACTGCAYACCATGTATGTGTAAAAACATTGTAACAAATTGCACCAATTTGCACAAATTAGTAAGTCCAGTAGACCTCAGTAGACCAAAGGACTA